AATCCCTAACTAGATCTAAAGAACAAGATGGAAAGGTGACGACTTTATACCTCCAGAAGCCTCCCAAGGTGAAATAAGTGCAGAATCTTGAAGCTCCAAGCCACTCCAAGCTTGCTTAGGATCTCCTTCTTCTTAAATGAACTTTACAAAGACCACAAAACCCACTCCTTATGCTCAAAATCTTTATGAGGGACGAAAATGAGGCTCTAGGGGCGAATAAGGTCGGGTCAAAAGGCTTAGAGGTGTTTAAATAGGGGGCAAGTCCGCACATTAGGGTTTTGCATCCCTGGCGCGTACGCCCTACGTAACTCAAGGTATGCCCCGCGTACCCTGATTCCTCTGCAACCACAATCATGCAGTACGCTAAGCGTACTCTTAAGTACGCCCAACGTACTTAAGGGACCAATTATGCAAAATTATCATTCCTTAGGGTTTTAAAGGCATACCACAATTTTGGATGTTACAAATTAAGCCCAAGGATGTAAAGGTTGCTCTTGATCACTCTGATTGGGTGCAAGCTATGCAGGAAGAGCTTAATGAGTTTGAACGCAATAAAGTATGGAGACTAATTCCAACTCCAAAGGATGCTTCTGTGGTCGGTCTGAAATGGGTGTTTCGAAACAAGCATAACCAAGAAGGGCATTTCATCCGGAACAAAGCTCGGTTGGTTGTGAAAGGATACTACCAGGAAGAAGGAATAGACTACGAAGAAACATCTGCACCAGTTACAAGGCTTGAGTCTGTTTTCATTTTCCTTGCCTACGCAACTCACAAGAATTTTGAAGTCTATTAGATGGATGCTAAATGTGCCTTTTTGAACGGTGAGTTAGAGAAAACGGCCTATGTAGAGCAACCACCAGGTTTCGCGAACAAGAAATATCCAAACCATTGCTACATCTTGGATAAGGTTGTGTACGGTTTGAAACAAGCTCCTCGAGTAATGTATGAAACTTTAACTCGTTATTTAAAGCAATCTAAGTTTAAACAAGGATCGGTCGACCCAACCTTCTTTCGCAAAAAAAATGGTGACCACCTTATGATCGTTCGGATTTATGTTAATGATATCATTTTCAGATCTACTAATCATAGATTAACTGACAAATTCTGAAAATTCATGGATTAGACATCATTTTCAGGTTTACTAATCATAGATTAGGCAGAGTTCAAAGGTCATATTCATAAATCAAGAAGCGTACACCAATTCTTTGCTTGCGAAATTCGGAATGGTAGGAGATTCATGGGTCAAGGTACCGATGGCATTCGGATCGAGGCTAACACCGTCCTTAGACAAGCCTGCATCGGATATTACTCTCTATCGTCAAATGATTGGATCTTTAATGAAACTAACATCCAGTAGACCAGATATAATGTTTGATGTTTGTTATTGTGCTAGGTTGTAGGCAAATCCCCGTGAACCACACATGACGACTGTGAAGAATATTATGAGATATCTTTAAAGATCATATTCTCTTGGAATTTGGTATCCTTCAAACTATGGATTCTTTGTGCAAGCGTTTTTGGATGCTGATCTCAGAGGATGTGGTCTCAATCGAAAAAGCACTTCTGTGGGATGTCAGTTTCTTGATGGTAAACTTGTTAGTTGGCTATCAAAGAAACACACATGTGTATCCCTATCTACCGCAAAAGCTGAATACATCGTAGCTGCATCATGTACTTTGCAAGTTGTTTGGATCCAAAGCCAACTTCGAGACTATGGTATAAAGGATCATGTAGAAGATGGGAGCGCTGAAGTTCATTTTGTAAGATCTTCTTATCAACTTGCTGATATCTTCACAAAAGCCTTACCGAAACAACCTTCAATCAAATTCTACAAGGCTTAGGAATGATAGAACAAACATCTATTCCAAAACCATCTTCGTAATCAGCATGCATATCCTAAGCTTCGAACCGGTTTGAACCCTCGTAGATACTCGTAAGTCACCGTTCACATTCCGAACGGGTTCGAGCGCTCGCAGCACTTCGGAGTCTATTGTTCATCAAAACTCGGAACATCATGTATCCTTTGTATATTAAGTATTTTTAGTATTTTATCTTCTTTTTTTATTTCTTTTCTAGGAAAATTTCAAAATACAAAAATATTTTTCTTTTCTGTTTTTATTTCTTTTTCAAGAAAATCCAAAATACAAAAATATTTACTTTCTTGTTTATCCTTTATCTTTTCAGAAAATCAAAAACTCCAAAAATATTTTTTTTGTTTATTTGTGTGTTATTTTTAAAATTCTTTTTGTCTTAGGTACTATTTCGTCATCTTAATTCGGAATGATGGTATATAACTCCGTTTCTATGTACTAGCTAAGTGTCCCTAGAAGCATGTTGTTGCATGTTGATCAAAGCCTCTGAGACTCTATGTTGAAGCCTTCATGAAACTTTCACTCTGAATGTTTCTTCCCAATTAGGCTACTATTCACATAAGTCATTGAGTTGCCTTACTCTTCTCATATTGAGTTAAGAGTTGACTGCATAGTCATTCGCAATATAGTAGAGGTACATTTTTATCTTCGGAACCACCTTATCTTTTCTCCATTACCTTCACTTTCACATTCATAACCCCTGAAACTCTCAGAAATTACCATTGAGGTTTATGGTTACACAAATTCTGTGTTTATGATCTTCAAATTGTTATCACCACGTTTTGATTGAAACCTAAAATCCGAATCATATTTATGTATTAACGGTGAACATTTAAAAAGTTCTAGATTTTCACCATGGCATTGACGACATTCAACCCTTGTGGTTTGTACCTCGAAATCTTATTTTTATTTTATTTTTGCGAGATCTTTATGGAATGCTATCAACCTAAGACATTTCTTCCCAATAAATCCAGTTTTTATTTTATTTTGAGATTTCGGTTTTGTCTAGTCACTTAAATGAATCCAAAGCATACTTGTTATTTTGGCTACACTGGTCAGAAAAGTACTTCTTCCACACTTTCAGACTTATATTGAATTTTGTAGTTTGGTTGAAGCAAAGCCACCCATTAAAGCCTAATGAAAAGAAGCCTTTCACTATTTCTCAACAAATAGATGATCATAATTCAATGGGAAACCATGCAAGCACTTTAAGTCTCTCTTGACTCCGATGGAAGAGATCGTTGCCAGGGTTCCATCTGCTTTTATGTTAATTTTAATCGACGTTATAGAATCCCAGATATATTTTGTTTTATTTCTTTATCTTTGGCACACTCTTGCACAAAAATCCTCGTAATTTTCCAAAAGTATGGTTCCAACCTACGAATGATTACTTTGAATTCTAAGAACAGGTTATGGTGAATGATGCTTAATTTCGAATGTGCAGAACTGAATCGGCGATTCTAAATGGATATGATTTCAAAAATTGGGCGCGTGATTTTCAAATTTCCTGACATCACGCCTTGTCAGTTACGCCGTCTGACATCACGCCTGTCAATCACGCCTTTGCAGGTGATTTTTTAGGGAAATGGACAGTCTTCCAGATGGCTTTCTCTCTCCATCCATACCGTATATAAGGAAAAATGATGATTGCCTTCCTTATCACTTTCAAAATCTCTTTCTCTCCAATATTGTTCATCTTCTCCAATTGCATCCATGTCCGTTTCTTCTGAAACTCCATCTGTGGCTGACCAAACTGCTTCATCGGGGCTACTGAAAATTAAAGCCAACCAAAATGTCATCTTAGACCTCGACTCATCCAAATACGTTGTCTCTCTCTAACCAATTATTGAGTGCCTTCATTACTCTCTGTTAGCACCAGCTCTTACCATGGCAGAGAATGCCCCCTTGGTTCATCTATCCAAGGCTTTATCCACCACACGTTACCAAGAACATGAGTCTGTGATTACTTTAGAGATTGAATCTCACAGAAACTCAATTTCCAAGTCCTGATTCAGTCGATTACTAGGGATTTCTCAAGCTATGGATCTGATTGATGTGGATTCAATCTCTTCATCTGCAATTCTAGAGATATTTTACTAGATGAGTTATATGGGAAATCTCTCCATTTTATCAAAGTTCAAGAAGCCCAACCTTCCTCCAATGTGGAATGGCCTTTTTACCCTTCTTTTCAAAAGCTTTTCAGAGCGGGTCATGGGGTTAGATAATGCAAGTAAGCTTTTTTGTACTATCATCTACAACTTATATCATGGAATCATCCTCTATTATGGTTCCATCATTTGGGCACAACTAGTTCAGAGCACTCTTTCTACAAAAAGTAACTCGTAGATCTCTTGTGCTCGATTTTGGTCTGTCATTGTCCAGAGGGCCATCGACCGACTCAATATTCTGGTGGTTGTAGGATCTATCATAGCAGTTATTCCAATATTTCACACTTCAAACTTCATCGTGTCTGATCCTACGAAGTTCTCCTTTATTAGATCAATTCTGGAGGCGATGCTCAACTATGTTCCAATGGAAAATGAGCTTATTAACAAGTATCGACAGAAACCTGCATCTGGTCCTCATCCTCTAACACCTGAGATGTGAACGAATTTGGAGGAAGTGAACAAGCCTAAAAAAGGAGCAAAGCGAAAGATGAAACCCGGACCTTCCGAGCCTGCTCGAACTCTGAAGAAGAAAATCAAAAAGGCTGCTTGGAAGCCTAGGTCTCCCTCTGCTGTTGTTGAGGAGGATTTAGAGTCTCACACTGTTTTAGATGTTTGAAGAATAGAGCAAGTCTCGCACAAAACTGAAGATACAGCTGCGACTTCGCAACCTATGGTCTCGGAGCCATATCCTACGTACTCCGATCCACATGTAACTTTTTCGATGCCTACCTCTATTCCTTTAACAGAAGATTTCTTTCAGGGTCTTACCCATACATTTTCTCTTACTGCTACTACTTCACCTCTTTCTACCCTAATCACAATTGCTCCATGTCCCAATGTATCGGTTGGTGTTTTGCAACCCCATATATCCATTACCCAATCAATTCCAGTCTATACTGATTCTACAACAACAACCAAAACAACCATTAGTACACCACCAGTAACTGCCAACGTATCTGATATGTGGGAAGGTGCTTCTAGTGTCCCTTTTGGTATTGACTTCACTCCAATCTCACCACTACACAATGATGATCTGGATACCATCTTTGGAGATGATCATGATGACTTCCAATATTTTTAACTACATTTCATTCACTATTTTACGAGGAAAGTGATGCTGATGCACCCGTGATGCAACGGTAGTTCAAGGCCCTCAGTGAAAATTTGGACACTCTGTTGGAGTCTTCCAAACCATATTCTAGAAATGAATACTCCTTTGAGTCTGTCAAGGCGTTGATCGAGACTTTCACCAAGGAGCACACCAGCAGTCTTGATGCTTCTACCGAAGAAGTTGAAAACTCCAAAAAGATCGTTCGTGAAACGACTGAGAAAGTTGAAAAAATACTTACCAATGTCACTCAATTTATGGAGGACTTTCGAAGTTCCTCTGATAAAAACATAGAGTTTGCAAAAAAGGTGATTACAAGTCTTGGAAACACCCTTCAAACAGAGAAAGACGCTCTCTCCAAAGTTCGTGCAGAACTCAGAGCAGACAACGCAGAGATGAGTGCCTCCATCATCTCAAAATTGAGAAGCTTCAAGGAAATATGGCTATAGAGAATAATATAATGGATAAACTTACAATGAAAATGGAAAAAGTTAAGGTTCTTACTCTACAACTTGCAAATGCCACCCAACACGTTGATTATTTGAAGTTTGAAAACGTTGTTATCCGAAGTTGTGTCGTGGATGTTAATCTCTTTTTGCAAAACCTGGTGGAGACTCGTGATTCTTTGCTCAGAGTCTCAATCCGCCAACACCTCGCTAACAAAATCAAGCCAATATTCTTCATGCTAAAATTGAATTAAGGGTGTTTTGGAAGTTGCCACCTTTCCAAAACAAGGGGATAAGCTAAGAAGCCCTCTGATGATCAACCCAAGCAAACAACTGGTGAATCTGGTGAATTCGAACACAAACCACCTCCGAAGTCAAAATATCTGAAGGGTAATGAAGCTTTGATATCAAAAGGCAAAGGAAATATTACTGATGATGATGAAGATCTATCCAAAGGGGCTAAGCTTAAACAGAAGAAACATGATCAAGAGATCGATGAAGCCCTTCGCATTGCAAAAGAAGCTGAAGCTAGGGAAAAGGAGGCTCGTGAAGCTCAAGTCACTTTGGAAACCCAAAAGTCTTTTTTCCCTACCTAGTCTATACAGCGAATTATGAATGAAGCTATCAACAATCCAAGTGTTTACTGGTTGGAGCCTGTTGTTTCGTTTGATTTGGAGAACTCTTAGGATTCGCAGCTTGACCTTCCAATAACTCTGAAGGCATTTCTGTTTTGCAGTTTTGAAAAGATCGAAAAAGCTCTATTTTTGGACGATGATGTTCATCAAATGCTTTTCTCGTTTTTTCTCAAGCATGAGAATCCTCAACATTAAACCTAGAGTTCGAAGAACATTATAGGTATGAAAGTCATCGGGCCAATTAAAATGAAAAGCTTTATCAATGCTCGATTCAAAGTTGTTCGTTGAGCAAAGAGATCAGTTTTTTAATTCACGCTCACAGACTTGTCGTGCCTGAACCCATACAAATGGATTTGTTTGTTCCATCTATTGTTAAATGATGACAGGAATTCGAACCTATTGTGGCACATATAAAAAGGATGTTGATCTCTTGCATCCAAGAAGTTGGTAAAATGGATGTGGAGATTGCAGCAGTACTCCAAAAGAAACCCACAGTACAACCAAAAGAAAGTATGAATGATGTCACAAAGATGAAACTCGGAAGAATACAAAAGGACAATTGGAGTGTGGCATTTTAGCAAAGTGAAAGAGAGGGCAAGAATATTCAGAAGTGCTTATTTTCTTTACCTGACAAGCATCTTTATTCTACTTTTTGTCTCAACTATGTTTTGGGAATCACTGAACAATGCAAGGCAAATGATGTTGTGGACAAGAAATGCTTCACAGACATGATCAAATGATATATTCAGGTTCACAACACCTTGCTTGGATTAATGCCAAAACTCTTCAAGGTTGAAGTGCTTTCATCAATGAAGAATCTTCCTTCTTTTGACACAAAGGGGAAGATTGTAAGGTTATTTATTGTGTTGTGTCAAATTAATTATGCATGTTTTTAGTCTTTATTATTATTGGATTAGGCATGTCAATCCGTCATTATGGTGCTAGGGTTAGACTATGAATATAGTATTCATGTATCATTTTAGGGTAAATGTTTTTGTAACCCTACGTATCTTTATAGAGAAGTTCTAATTGAACTCTTCTAAGATATTGATAATAAACATTTGGCACCCTTTTAATCATATTCAATATTTGTTCTTATTGTTTGATTCATATAAACTGCTTTGAATCTATCGATCATTATTTTATTGTTTCTACATGTCACTACTACCTTGTAACAATTTTAAGTTTTCGCGTTCAGCTTCTAATATAAAATTATTGACTGATTGTCCTAATTGTGCAACCAACCACGATTATATGACGATGACAAAATTTTCAACCTATTGTAAGTATGCATGTATTTTCATTTGTGTAACTCAGAACATTCTAATGATAATAAAAGCAAACAGTAACATCTAACAAAGTGTCTAATGTTATCCATGACAAGTGAATGTGAGCATTATGTGACTATCAACAACTAACATCCATACGGTAAATTTTATCTCACTACTAGAAAAACAGCCTTTTACGATGCTCATTGCGTGTCGTAAAACGCTCAGATGACGCACAAATGCGCGTCAAGAAAGGCCCTGTCATAAAGAGAGACGACGGGCTTTTACGACGCGCATTTACAATGCGTGTTTATGACACACAATGTGTATCAAGGAAGGCCCTGTCATAAAGGAAAACGACACACATTTGTTTGTCGTAACCTTACGACGCGCATGTTTTTAACACGCAATGCGTATCAAGGAAGCCCCTGTCATAAATGAAGATGACACGCATTTACGTGTCATAAACTTCAGTAACCATTTTCGATATGCGTTTACAACGCGTCTTTACGATACTCATTTACGCATAATACAAAAATATGTAAACAAATATATTAAAAAACAATCAATTTCATCCAATAACATCATGTCCAAAAATTGTAATACATTGATATTAATGGGATCTAATTGTACATTGTTATTAAGAGGTTTTCCCTAACTATCTAACCTAATACTCCTACATTGCTATTAAGGGACACCTTCTGCAATGTAATGCTATAGAAACTAAAAAGATATACACAAAGATGATAAACATCAAATTCCAAATAAATAGAATTGCATCTTGCCTTTCATAATTCTTAATTAAGAATAATGAACCCTTGCTCCGATAATTCTTGTGACCTGATCAAATAAAAGTCAAAAAATTAATATGCTAATAAAATTATTAGAAGAATCAAACATGGAATGGTAGTTGTAAAAGACAAAATTACCCTTTTCTCCAACTTCCTGCATCATAATTGAGGTCGAAATAAGACATTTCTTGTTCCAAACTATATGAAAAAAAGTCAAAAACAGCAAGAGTACCTGAAGTTGAGGTAGATCAGATCGCAGTAAATTTATTTGGTTTTGGAAAAGAAGCCAAAGTCACACACAGTGACTCATGCATCTGTCCTGCTGTCCCCTCAAAAAACTACTACAACCAGCAACAAACTACCAAAAAAAAAATACATCATTAGAAAAAAAATGAAAGTAGCATTTAGCCCAAATATACATCAAGAAATTACAAGAAAAGAAGTAGGATGCACTGTTATATTAACTAAAATACAAAATAATTACTTTTGGAAAGGACTAAATTAAATAAAATAGTCATTTTGTACTAGTCATTAACATATACATATATAGTCACTTTAAAATCTGGTAAAAATAATAAAGGATTATAATAAATTAAATTCCAATAAAATCTTAAAATAGAACTAACATAAAAATAGTTACTTTTGGAAGATTAAAAAACAAAATGATCTTATACAATGAAACTTTTAGTTCCAGGGGTTATCAAAGATTATATAAATAAAAGTATATTATGATTATAATGTCATTAAAAAAATACTTACACGTATATTTAAGAAAAGCATTGCATTGACAAGATGGAATCTCATGCCATGAAGGCGCCATATTTGTACATAATGACCCAGAGCCATTAACAAAGTCATAATATCTGAGAAAAACCCTACATTCCTTAATATAACACTCTTCCAATCCCACAATGAACCTGCACACATCCATTCCCATTCCCATGATTTATTTTTATTTAACAAGTCAATGTAAAAATCATAGGCTCTTGGTCTTGCCTGCTGCTGACATATCTAAAAGCTTTGATATTTTGGAATTTGTGGTGTTGCCTGTTGAGTGGTGAACCCATATATCAACCAGTTGAAACCCATGAACCAAAATCGCCTAAACCAAAAATATTATGAAAACCTACAACAAAATAAAAGTATATAAATACATAGGTCAGCGTGTGTAAGTGTGTGTGTGTACCTATAGTGTTTCGAAAACAATATACCTAGAGGCTCAAAGAATAATAACAAAAACATAGATGCCCTTAATTTGTTGCTACTTAAGTTGAGCAGCAGATAGAGATGTATATTAGAAAGCATGCATATTGTAGGTGTGAATTGCAGTTTAGAAGTAGTAAAAAGAAAAACAAAGCAAATACATGATGATTGGTATTTGATGCGTCTATTCTAAAAGCGAAGATTGGTACACCATATGCATGCATATGTGCATACCATTTCTTTTGTTGCACAGAAACACAAAAAGTAAGTAACTTACATGTATGGCAAAAAGTCAATGAGTTAATGGAGAGCGGTCAACTCAACAAGGTGTTTGTACTTGTCAGAGACAAAAGATTCCACCTTGAATCCACCTTCCTCCATACTTGTTGGAGATATATATTTCACACCGATAACTATCGCCAGGCCTGCACCAACACAACAATTATATATTGCTTTTATCAATAATTTCAATCCTTTTCACTTCACATAAATAAATAAATATATAACTTCAAATTCTCATTTTTATTAGGGAAATTAATTATTTTTAAATGAAGTGTAACTGTACATACTGTTATGGACTTGAGCGTATAAGAGTCTTTATCCCTTTCAATATTCCAATGGTCTCCTTTTAATTCTGCTGCTTCATCTTACTCCAGATGACATCCAACTAGACCCAGCCCCTACCATTCCCATTCCCATTCCCTCCCATTATTTTTTATATCATAAATCATAAATCATAAATCATAAATAAATAAATAAAAATATGGGTTTCACTTTCATTCATAAATTTTTAACATAAAGATGAACGAGTGAGTATAGTAATAATAAACACCACCTATGACCTAACCTACCTGCAAGGCTCTGGTGACGCTTTTTTAGATCAATCTTATTCTTCTTTCTCTTATTCGTTTTTTTTATTTATCTTCCGATGCTCGTCCTCCTCCTCCTATTTATTAAAAGTTAGAACTCAGTGTTTGTTTGTTAGGAATAATCTGATTTTTTACAAATATTTTTTTATACAAGAAATAAATAAAGTAACCTTAACCTCACCTCATTTTGTTGTTCAGTGACATTAACAATATCAAGACTTTGACCACTAGTATCCAGGTCCATGTCCTCCTCAATATTCACATCACCAGCATCTGTTTCAGCTAATTTAAAAAAAATGATCTAAAAAAAACACTATTCTATTCAACACAACTCAAGATCTTAGTTTTTTCCCCTTTGAATATGTGATGTCGTATTTACCTTACAATAAATTAACAATGATCTAAAAAAACACTATTCTATTTAATATTCTCATCTTCCTATGCCAATAGATAATTATCTCTAACCAGTTTCAGTTTCATATTCAGATGATAAAGTAACTTCATATAATAAATACTATATATCATATATTCAACATTAATTATATATAGAAAGCATATGATTAGATTAACAAGACATAGGTCAAACCTGGTTGCCTCGAATCCAAATCCAAATCCAAATCCTCCACAACATTTACATCTGCTTCTCCTGCCTTCTCTGTCACATCTTCACCCTATTGTTATGTCAAAATGTCAATGCCAATGGATGTGACATTTGTTTCTTTTAACATTCTTCTTTCAGTTTTCAGAAACTTAACTTATTGTATGTAATTTATAAACCAGTTTTTTAAACACAACTTACATTATTATTCTCTTCAGTAATAATCTCCTCAACATCCAAACTAAATTCTGTAACAACAGATGCTGCTTTTTTCACCGTATCTTCACTCTACATGATCAGTAGACATGTCCTTATCCTGCAAATACCAGCAAATAATATAAGAGAGAGAGAGAGAGAGAGAGAGAGAGAGAGAAGTAAGCATGAATAAGGAAGTCCTTGAGATTTATGAAATAGTAGAATTCTAGAGGAAATACCAGACTGCATTGACAATGACAACCAACAATAAAACACAATATACACGGAAGTAAGTCCATGGAGTTGCAGAAGGAGATGCATTCAACCGTTCAAGTTGATCCCGGGCTAGAGCTTGAAACATCTGCAAAAAATGATAAAAGTAAAACCCGTAAAAAAATCTCCAAATTTTCTTCATATCTATACTCCAAAACCATGTGAGGTAATAGTAATAGTACCTTCAAAGAGCATAATACAATCAACCATGTTGACCACAATCCTGCTCTAACTAATGTTGGTGGTCCTACCAATGGAAGAAACGTTCCCTTGTAGATAACATAATTAACTAGTCTCTCCACCATTTTCCAAGATTCAGTTGCATGCAGCTCATCAAAAAATATTGTCTGCATGACCAAATATATCATCAAAAAGAATCAAGACTCATTGTAAAGATTTAGGAAAGTTGAATACCTTAAGAGAGAGAGGATGATGAGTATAAAAATGTTGAGGACAAAATTGACCACCAATGCAACTGTGGTATAAGAACTCAACAACAGTTCCAATACACAGTTGGCAACACCAGGGTGGAGAAGGTTTTCACCCATCAAACCATATGACTTTAGTTTCACATAAGAAACTTTTGTCCAATATTGGAGGCCTATAAAGCTCAACACTGTATAGACTGTTGATATTGATAAATACCCCACACCCATAGGATACAATGTAAATTTCATCAGGGCAACAAAAGTTCCAGGATTTCATGAGATAAAAATACCCAAAAAAAACCCACATAATCTTGAGACTTACGACTAACAGAAGGGCATTCACATCTTCAGATTTACCTGGGCTCATTGTCACCATATGCAAGCAACAGTAATGTTCCACCTTTAAAATGGACATAATCCAGAATAACAGGAAGCATCTTCTCAGCTCCTATTGCTATTTCGCCATTAGCCCCTTTCCATAAGTTCAACAACAATACCTTCAACTTTTAGGACAACCTCCGAATTAATCTTTTCAATGGAAGCAACAACCAAGTTTGACCACAACTCTTTTTTTCCAATTCAAAGCTTGGTCAAGTGAAAACTGGCCTGGTCCAGCACAGATGGTGGAAAACAACATGAAAATTCCCCTGTAATGATGATAGGCTAGGGTTTTAGAAAGAAAGAAGAGAGGACACATTTAGAGAGAGAGAGAGAGAGAGAGAGAGAAATTCAAAATAAGGCATGGAAGATTGTGATCTTCAGAGATGACGTACACTTCTCTAAACAATATTAGGGTGAACCCATACCATCTAGAACTGCAAAACAGAGGATACGATCATCTTTTTCTTCAAGCCTATAATAAGGTTACTGTATTTTGAAAAGACGCTAAGAATAGTACCACAACTCCGATGCATCCTCCCCTTGGCCTTAAACTCTCTTCTCTCTCTTTCTGCTCATTTTTTTCTTTTCTTTCCCATTTTCTGATCAGTCTTGTCATGCACACACACACCATCTGGGAAGTAGGACGACGTGAACGATGGTGGAGGTGATAGCCAGCGGTGGCTAGTTTAGGGCTTTTAGAGAATATGAGATATTTTTATTCAGAGAGAGAAAGTGGAATCGATGAGAATGTAAACTTCGGTTACTGTATACCAAAAAAAACCGATGTAAGCTTGAATGAAAGTAGAATCGATAAGAATGTAGAGAGCCCCAAATTGAAACCTTGTCTAGTATAATCGATTTGAGAGTGATTGTTGGATTTATTGCTTCCCTTTCTCGGTTCGCTTACCCTTTAGTTACCCTAGTCAATCGATTCAAGCTTTCACGAAAAACCCTAGGTAGCAACTAATAGAGACAAAAAGGATGGGGTGAAAGTAGGATTGGATCCGATTTCAAAGAGTAACAATAGATTTCACTGAAAACCCTTTCCCGATTCACTTGACCTTTGGTTACCTCAGTCGATCGATTCAAGCTTTCAATAAAAAAACCCTAGGTAGCGACCGAGAGAGACAAGAGGGAAAGGCGTCGATAATCTGGGCAAGAGGGAAAGAAGAAAAAGATGCGGGGTTTTTAATTTTTTAGGATTTCATTTTCCCACCGTATGGAACGCGCGTTCCATTAAAATTTATAAAGCGACATCTTTAGACGACACACACTTTATTATAGGTGCCCTCCATGTTTTTTTTCTTTCGTTTAGACACTAATTTAAGGGCACGCAATAATGTATGACATAAATCCTTAAATTTTTTGAAGAGACGACACTTTTTTAATGTCAGTCTCTTTTGCGTAACATAAATCAGTGAGTGTCGTTGTTCGCACGTCGTAAAATGGTCTTTTTCTTGTAGTGTCTTAGTCTACTATATATATATATTTTTTTTTTGCATGTGTGAAACATTTTTCATGTTAGCTAGATTGAAATAGCAATTAAATTGGTATTTTAAGATTATTTTAAACGTGCAAATGTCCCAAATACCAAACTGTAAAAACAAGACAGATGTTTCCAAGTATATGAGTATGTAAAAGTTGGACATCTAACAAAAAATAATATACAAGTCAACATAAATTTATATATTTTAAAATAAACCACCTTTTAAATCTCAAATTAATTCATTTAAAACTTTGTCCGGAAAAAAACATCATTTTATAACTTAAACACAAAAAATAACAATGTAAGTGTGAGCAAAAACCTAAAAACCAAACATATAAGAACTGAAAACAAAATGATTTCTAAAAAAAAAAAGTTTCGGATTCAATTTCACCCAAAACCGACATATGTTCACCTCTACATATGTTCATTTCTACTAAACCTCAGTATATCTGTTGGAGTGCTCTTTTTTAAAATGTTAATGCTTAAATAAGAAATTCTTACATAGACTCGAAAAGTGACAAGTTTTTTTTATACTTTTTGCCATGTTTTTTCAAATATGAGTTTTTGAATTAGAAGTAATAATTAATAACTTAAAAAAATGAAAAAAAGAATGTCAACGATTAACGAACCCGAACTAATCAATAGACATTAGACAATAGTTAAACAAACCTTGTTTAACTCGAAGACATTTTAAGTTTTTAATCACTTGTATCAAATAACTGTATCTTGTTTATAAAAGTTCCACTCCACACTTCTGGATGTTGCTTTTTGCACGTAGAATTCGAGTCAGAATCACCAATTATATAAGTCAAAACCACTCCTTCGGTTACAAACCCAAATTGAATGAACACTTATTATTATTTACATTATTGTTATTTGAATTGTATAATCGAGATCCCATCAAACATTCATTAATCAAACATTAAACAATTTTAGAACTTTACCCCTTCTATTTAAAACGTAGTTTCAATTTATATCCTTTTGTATTTTAAAAACTTATTTTCAGTCCTAATTACTATATATATATATATATATATATATATATATATATATATATATATATATATATATATATATATATATATATATATATATATATATATATATATATATATATATATATATATATATATATATATATATATATATATATATATACTATTTAAATTTTCTTTTTCTTTTTTTTTTTAATTTTTTTTGTCAAAAGTATTTTCCAAAACTACTTAATTATACAATTTTTTTTGTCAAAAGTAGTTTTATTATAATACTTTTGTATAGTTAAGTAGTTTTATTATAATACTTTTGAAAAAATTATATATATATATATATATAGTAATTAGGACTATTTTTTTTTGTCAAAAGTATTTTCCAAAACTATTTTCCAAAAGTATTATAATATAACTATATTTACATTTATATATATATATATATATATATATAGTTATATTTTATTTTATTATAATATTTTTATATATAAAAAGAATAAAAATATTATATATATATATATATATATATATATATATATATATATATATATATATATATATATATATATATTTATGATCAAACCAAAAGAAAATACAAAATAATATAACTATATTTACATTTATGGTCTTTTAACTTACCCCACATTTAATATAAAAATCAAATTGTAGATGTCAAATGCATACTAGTCACGGGCTACCATGTTTGACGTCTGTGTCAGATTATAATAGGTCTAATCAGTTTGATTTAAACCATAAACCATACAGGCACAATACATTTTCGTTTCAACAACCTTCAACATTTTATTCAAATTCACTTATGAGTGAAATTCCAAATGAATTTCATCCATACTTTACAAACATTGAAGATGTGGAGAGAGATGAAAATTGTGGATTTCGGATAATAGCTGTCTCCCTTGGGTATAGTCAAAATTATTGGAGTCAAATCCGCTCAGAGTTACACAACGAGTTATTAGAAAATTAGGGACGATATGCAATGATTTTTCAGAATGATATAAACAACGTACATCACTCGTTGAGTTTCACTGGATTGGGTTCTACACAAAATGAATATTGGTTGATTATGTAGGATACTGGATTCCTCATTGATAATAAGTATGGTGTAATCATCTATTTTTTAGACAAACAATGTTCGTCGACCTCTTTTCTACTTTGGCATGGTCCGCAAGACATCTCACATCATAGATCTATTGTTATCGTCTTCGTTTATAATGATCATACGGGTGTTGTTATCGTCTTCGTTTATAATCGTTGACATGTCAAATACGAGTATTGTTATTGGCACCTAAATATTTGATCAACACGACTGTTCTAAAAAGTCAATACAACCATTTTATTTGAAACCCAAATTGAAATGACATTTAAACAATATTATAATACTAAACTTTATTTTATATATTATTTGTATACATAATCTTTTATCACGTTTTTTTATTCTTATATATATATATATATATATATATATATATATATATATATATATATATATATATATATATATATATATATAAAATATCTTATTTATTTTTTTATCTTTTAAGTATAAAGAAATGAAATATGGTATTTTTTTGTAATAAGTTTTAAATAAGTATATAAAAAAATAACTTATTAAATAGTTTTTAAGTCTTTTTTAGAACGGAAATATTAATTTTTTTTTCTTTTTAGAACTGAAATATTAATTTTCTTTTTTTAAAACAAAATATTAATATGATAAAAAGACTAACTTATCATTCTTTTTTTTTTCTTATTATTATTATTATTATTATTATTATTATTATTATTATATAACAATTTTATTTTTTCTTTATTTTAATAGACGATATTAATAGTAGTTGTTATGACGGTATAATAGTTGTTTTTTCTTATATTTAAGATTATTTGTTTAAAAAGTAACTATAAAATCTCTTAAAGCTGAATAAAAAAAGTAAAGAATATAAACAAATGATGTAAACGGAAAACACATAAAATAACATTAAATAATTATATTTGTTGTTTAATAGTTATCCGGAGTTCTATTTTAATTTGTTTATTCGAGGAAAAGATAAAAAAAAAAATACAAAAAACATTGTATATTGTGACCGAATAAGATGTAAAAAAATATTAAATCGTATATTCGATTAAAACGTCAAAAATATTAAAAGATTTTTAAACTACACAAACAAATATGAATAAATAACAATATGATATATGTAATTTATATAATTAATTTAAAAAAATAAAAATAATTTTATAAAAAATCTATACAAATTCTATTAAAAATATAAAAAAATATATATGTTATATAATAATAATAATAATAATAATAATAATAATAATAATAATAATAAATTGTTAAAAGAAAAAAGAAAAAGAAAAAGAAATAATAAGTTATTGTTTTATATGAAACAAAGGACTAAAACCATAATATTTAAAAACTACAGGGATATAATATATTTATTTGTAAATTTAGGAATCAAAACTATTATAAATCAGATTAAAACAAAAGGACCATTTCTGTAATTTACTTAAAAAAGAACCTGAAAATAATTTTGTAAAGGAGACGGTATAATCATTATATTTTTAATAAGACACTTTAATCATCTTATAATTATTTTTATAAAAAGTTAACCTATAATTAACTATTTTTAACGAATTTTTTTAAAAAACAATATAATTTCAACCAATAAAAATATTTTAAACATTAATTAAGATTATCTAAAAATAGAATTTTTTTTAACCAACCCTTACTTTAATTGAATTTAATTTAGTGTTGTGTTTTGCATAGGTTGTTTTGACTTTGTGTGTTTAAAACTCCTCCCACTTCCACACAATAAAATCGATGAATCTGGGTTTTCTGAAATGCCAACTGTCTTTCGAGTAAATGAGTTACAGATAGACTCGCCCCAAGATCCGCTCCGCCGACAACTCGATTCATTCCATTCCGACATGGATCCCGATGAGTAATGACATTGACACCCTGCATCACCCCCAAAATCCATATCTTCCTGCTCACTTAGCGAAATCCCAATTCAAACTCTCTTGATTCTTTTTCTTTCTGACATCAAATTGTTCGCTATACACAGAGACATTCCAACATTCTTCATCTCATTCTGAATATAAAAAATATTTATATTCTAAATCGAAATGGGTAGTTTTGCGTGGTCGACATCAGCCTTCGATTTGAAGTCAGGGCAGACGATACTGTTGGCTCTTCTAGTAATGATATTTTTTTTCTACAGCGGCACGTTTTTTGGCCGAAATTCTTCGCTTTATATAAACCAACTTGCTTTGAATTCATCATCATCGAAATCACCAGGTACCCTTTTCTTGTTTACTCCATTTTTGTACTAATTACTTAGAATTTCGATCAAGAACAAGTTGTTATACTCTGTATTTCTATTATTTAGTTTAAACAATTGAGCAGAATGGTTGTGCTCGTTTTGTAAATCTACTAAATACCGAGATGGGTATGTAGATCCCATTTCGTATGATGCCTTGCATATGATCTAGTGAGGTTTTGAGATCTGAATCACGCAGAATTCATGTTGCAACGTACACTATTTCTGCTGAAAGCAATTTATGAACTTTTACCAGCTCAAAGTTCAAACCTTTTATGCTTGCAGGTAACCCTACATTTAGCAATACAGTCACTCTTACTCATCGACAGTCGCCACTTACAATTCCAGAAACTGGAATGAACATATGCCCTATAGAATTCAACGAACATATACCCTGCCATGATCCTTCATACATCAATACATTACTTCCACAATTAGATCTCTCCAAGCGAGAAGATTTAGAAAGACATTGCCCCCCACTACAAAAACGCTTATTTTGCTTGATACCTCCACCACTTGATTACAAAATACCCATAACATGGCCAACCAGTCGAGACTATGTATGGAGGAGCAATGTGAATCACACACATCTTGCAGAAGTAAAAGGAGGGCAAAATTGGGTTCATGAGAAAGATCAACTATGGTGGTTTCCAGGTGGTGGTACCCATTTTAAACATGGAGCTAGTGAATACATAGAGAGGTACAAATACAATACGCTAAGGCTAAATAGGTAATTTTACATTTATCTCAGTTACCGATTTTCTTATGGTTTCCAATTTATGCAGATTAGGGAATATGACTACAAATGAGACAGGTGATCTTCGTTCATCTGGAGTATATCAAGTTCTTGATGTTGGTTGTGGGGTTGCAAGTTTTTCTGCTTATCTTCTTCCATTAAACATACAAACAATGTCATTTGCTCCAAAAGATGGACACGAAAATCAAATTCAATTTGCTTTGGAACGTGGGATTGGTGCTATGATATCCGCTTTAGCTACAAAACAGCTTCCATACCCAAGTCATTCATTCGAAATGGTTCACTGTTCAAGGTGTCGTGTAGATTGGCATGAAAATGGTAATCTTTGCATTAAAACCCCATTTTTTTTTTATAAAAAGATTCTTATGATTGATGTGATTTTGAATGAGATGTGCAGATGGGATTCTTTTGAAAGAAGTAAACAGACTTCTTAGGCCGAATGGTTACTTTGTGTATTCGGCTCCTCCAGCTTATAGAAAGGACAAAGATTTTCCAATGATATGGGAGAAATTGGTGAACATAACTTCCGGAATGTGCTGGAAGCTTGTTGATAGGAAGATTCAAACAGCAATTTGGATTAAAGATGTTAGTCAATCGTGTCTTGAAAGCAATGCAAAGCAGAATCTTGTAAAGATTTGTGATTCTGTTGATGATCCTAAGCCCTCGTGGAAAACACCACTCGGGAACTGTGTTTCACCAGTTCCCGAGTTTCAAAAACTCCCCCCTAGGCCTCAACGCCTTTCAGTATATTCAGAAACTCTCAATGATATAGGTTTGTCTGGAACCCCAAACTTTTTATCTGTCAGTCAGTGTCACTTAACCGTCTATTGGCTGCAGGTATCACTCAAGAAATGTTTCTTTCGGATACGCTTTATTGGCATGATCAAGTTCGTCATTATTGGAGACTAATGAATGCTGACGTGGCATCTGTTAGAAATGTCATGGACATGAATGCCCTTTACGGTGGATTTGCAGTTGCCTTTACTACTTGGCCTGTTTGGGTGATGAATGTTGTCCCTGCAACAATGAACGACACTTTGTCTGCTATTTATGCCCGGGGTCTCATTGGTGCTTTCCATGATTGGTCAGTCAACATAAGGAGGGACTAAATGCGATACATTTTACAACTTTTTTTTTTTTTTTTTTTTTTTTTTAAATTATAATTGTACACACTGTTGTCTAATAGGTGTGAGCCATTTTCTTCATATCCACGTACATATGATTTGGTGCATGCGAATTATCTCTTTTCTCACTATTCAACACAAGATGATCGTTGCTTGTTGGAAGATATCATGCTAGAGATGGATCGACTTGTTCGGCCTCAGGTAACCTTTTTTTTTCATGCTAAAATTACCCATTTACCCCTAAAGATTTCTTACAAATGTGATTAGAAACTTCATGTATGAATGCATTGCAGGGGTTTATTATTATCAGAGATGTTGGATTGATTGTTTCAAGAATAACGGATCTTGCACCCAAGTTTCTTTGGGATGTTACTTCACATGTACTAGAAAATCCACAAGGAGTATCAGAACCGGTTTTAATTTGCCAAAAGAAGTTCTGGGCAATTGTTTGATGTTGATATAATGTTAACTACAGGTTCAAATTCTTTAAATATGATAGTTTTGATTGTGTAATGAGGGTGTATGCCTCCGCATTGTAGATTAGTTAATTTATGCCATTCATTCTTTTGTTCATTGTAAATCTTGAACGAATCTGTTCTTCATCTTTCTGTTAGACGACCATGTAAATGGAGCTCATTCCTACATGGTGATGTAATGATGTTGCTATTATTATCAGCTTATGTACAATAATGTAATCACTTTCTTGTTTTTGATATCTAATTTAAGTTATTATTTTTTTTTTTAGCTTGGTGTACTTAAAAGAGAACAAGATTTTGGAGTTTTTCCCTGTTAAGTTTTGTATAGATAAAGTGGCTGCATGAGTAATGATGTGTCTCATAAAATGTTATATAGTTTCTTTTTCTAGATAGAATAAATTTTAATTGTATCAATGGGGGAGTAAATGACCATTTTACTCTTACTTTCCAAACAAACAAATTTCTAGTATTAATCATTTATAACAATAGTCGTCAATTTTAAAGGTAAGGGGAAAAAGAAGAGCAAACAGGTAAAGTGCTAGTGTCTTAATACATTAAGACATGTTTTTTAGCTCAACACATTAAGTTATTTTGTATAGTAGTCCAATTGCCCCAGTTAAGCGTTTAACATTAAATTGAAAAGAAATTTTAATATGGTAAATTAATTATGGATGTTTTCTTGACATAAATACATAATACACAAACAACAACTTTATCGAGTCAATCAGCCCATATAATAAGGATACAAAATGTGTGAGAAAGAGGCAAGTTATCATGCATGACAAATTTGATGGATTTATTAGATCATACCAACACCAACAGTATAACATGATACAAGAGTATTATTGGATATTTTCATTAATTATATGATCAAAGATCGGTTTCAGGATCTACTAACAACCCCGAATTTACAATGAAGCAAAGATCATCTTTTCAAATGTAAACTAAGTAACAGGAGAAATAAAATGCCTACACATATGAAGTTTACCAACATGGATACAAGCTCAGGTCTTTAAAATATGTAGCAAATTGCCATGTCATCGGTCTTCTCGTTTTGTCAAAGAAGACGTTTTGTATCAGCATTTGCCTTTCACTATCGCCAGCATCATCAACAATGTCATCTTTGTTCAACAATAACTCTTAAAACCCTCATAGCAGCAAATTTGGCATGATCACCATATACCAGTAATAATTCAATGTTTAGGAGTGAAAAGCACCTAAATTACAAGTAAATTAAAGGATTTTTCTAGGGAAAATGTTACAGAAATGATGCTTAATTTCATAAATGGAGTAGATTACGAAGCTCAAGAAAGTACCCAAATTCAATCGTCCCCAATTGGGAACAATGTCAGAGCCTTTTTCTCTTTTGCAGATTCCAGATCATCCATGTAAGAATTATGAACTGGAGTCCCTACCCTGTGAAGAGGTTGATTCGATTGTCTGCTCAAAAACTGATGATTGGACTGCCCATTAGTGACCGACCCAAAATGGCCCACATGCCGATGGAGATGATGCCCTGCGACGGCCGCCATCTGTTGGTGGTGATGTTGCTGTTGGAGTGCAGCCACCGGCATATATGGCAGGAAATTGTCGGAATTAGGGTGAGATTGATGGAGAAAATGAGGTGGCACCGGTGAACTTGCAAACAAATGGTCGGTAGCGGGGTCTCCGCCAGACCCAAATCCACCAGCACCGTTGCCACCGCCACCGGAAGACAAACCCTGCATACGTTTCAAGTAAAGCCTGTATTTTTGGAGGTGACTCGCGACGTTTTCTCGAGTCAACCCGTCAACACTCATGAGCTGCATTATGGTTTTGGGGACGGCGTTCTTGATCCCCAAATGAGCAACAGCGTCCACGAATCTCTTGTGGAGTTGTGGAGTCCAGACGAGACGAGGACGCTTTAGGGTGCGAGCCGGCTCATCACCACCACCACCAAGCTCAGATGAATCGAATTCCCCCGAATTTGGCTGTGACGAAGGGGTTGAAATCGCCGGCGGTTGTTGGTGGTGTTGGAGTGACTGATGATGGTGGTTAAGTGGGATTTGGGAACTTCCGATATCGAAGGCGATCGCAAGATCAGGTGTGATTAGGGTTTGAGATAAGGGTATAAGCTCGTCTGGCTTCGGCAGTTCTTCTTCCCACTTTGAGAACCAATTAGATTCATCTTCCTTCATCTCCGGTTATCAAATCAAAACCCAGATAGCAAGATGTTCATGGGTATCGAGTATCCAACTCCTTTGATCTGTCCCTCTCTACAAAGATTCGAGATTTGATGATAGAGAGAAGAAAAGAAGGGAGGGGGGTTCGAGGTGGATTTTCTTCTTGTTTCCTTATTTTAAAGCAATCATGATCCGTTTGGTAAAGATATCAATTGAATGAAACATTGAATAAAACCACAAAACCAAGAAAATCTTGTTTTGGATCGTTTTTGTCATGACGCATAAATCCTCTAAAAATAACTTGCCTTTTTTGTCCATTCTTTTCTTTTGTATTTCAACTCTGAATTCAACGAACAAAAAGATAATGTCTTTCATAACTGTTTTTGGTATGACAAATCACAAATATATGCATCTTGAATTACGTTATAACTAAAAAAAATCATTTTTATGATCGTTTTAAGATATAAATATATATTGATAAACATAGTATTATGGTTACTAATGAATTAATGTACATAATTATACAAAAGTTGTTATATGTTTCCTTGTGATAACGATATGTGTTTTTCGTAATTAACCCGGATTTGGTCAAAGAGATAAAAAAAAAAAAAATCAATGATATGTTAACATGGAAAACATATGTTAAATGGATTAAATGGGTCAATTCCTTAAGATGCAACGAAACAAGCCCTATGATAAGAGTGAATGTGTTCCAGCTTACAACCTTATTGTGAAACATAAGACAAACTCACATATTTAACATTAATATCCAACTAGACATGTTCAAAAATTCTATATCATCCAAAATGAAATTAGAACTTACTCCTTATCATTATGTGAGGGTGAGCATATTAAGTATTAACCAATAACTCAAACTGAAACCAACATAAGAGAACCATTACTAAAAACAATGTGCAATTTTAATTTTGATTAACCAAATACATATGATTCTGTTATGTTTTTTTGTAAAACTGAACCACTAGAAATCGAACCTATAGTATTAATGAATATATAAAAAATATATATAAATATAATATGTGATGTAATTTATACAAGAACATGATAATTTTAAGGGTTTGATACATTCCAATCCTTACTAAGTCATGTGTGATTGCCAATATGGAGAACATTTTGGTTGCCAAAACATTGATAGAAGTGATTAATTAGTTAATTGAGTTTGCTTTAAGTGGGAAAAAGTTTTTTGTCTTGAATCTTGATGCACACGTTTCGTAGATCACATCTAGAAAACTTGCGAAGGGTCGAGAATTATAATAATTACTAGGCAAATGTTTGCGCGTTGTGCATGATATGGAAAAAATATTTTATATTAAAAATAAATAAATCATTGTTATTAACAGTTAAATAATATTTTCATAAAAAAATATAAAAATGATTTTAAATATTATCATTATGTTGAACTATACCATAAGAGAAAAGGATGAAACTTTGAAGTTATTGTGCATATACAAAGTTATATGATTAAAATAGAGAAAATTTAAAATTTTTAAAAATAAATAAATCATTATTATTATCTTTTAAATAATAACTTCATATTAAATTTAAAACGTTTATATTAAATATTATCATTATATAGAACATACGATAATAGTAACATCTTTTTATATATCCTAAATATTATCATTATGTATAACATATGATAATAGAGACATTTTTTTTATCTTAAATAGTAATAATATTTTTTTGTATCATAAATATTACTATAAATATGTAAAACATATGATAATATCGGCATCTTTTATAATGTTAGAACATAAAATTGTATTACATACAAGATTGTAAAACTTAGCTAACACAACCAAATACTCATCATGTTCTTTAAACATGGCCTCCAATGGAAGCGAGTTTGCCTAATTCAGCCAAAAGAAACTCGAATATTAATCAAACTTGATCCAAATCTAAAAAATCCAGTCCAAAATCATTTTCAAAATTCTGAAATTTAATTGGTCACTTGTCAACAAAGACCGTCTCACCAAAGAATACCCTCAACGTCCTACAAATGTAGATGCAAGGAAGATCTCATGGCTTGGTCCTTTTGAAATATTTCACAATCTTTCCTATCTATAGAAGAGGATTCATTCTCTTTTTTATTCTCATCATCGATATGAGATGAAGACATTTTAATTAAATTCCTTTCTTTATTTACCAATATTTTCATTTTGTTAAATAAAATATTAAATAATAAAAATAAAATGTTATCCAAAAAATTTATTGTTCAATAATTCCATTTTTCAGTAATCTTGTAAGTTGTTATTCAAGAAAAATAAGTCTTTATTGAATAACTTTTTGTTAAATCCTAAAATCATAAATTCAGTTAAGTACTTAATATAGAAAGTTTGTTTATATGTATTTTCACGATTCAAAAAGGTCATCTTGGTTCTCCAAGATTGATCTACAATCGGGTTATCACCAAGAGCGCTCATTTCATCCCGATCTAGGAGGGTATATCGACTGAGAAGCTAGCCGAGATCAACGTTCGCGAGGTGGTGGCACGTCATGGAGTGCCAGATTTGGTGGTGTCAGACCGAGATGTTTGTTTCACTTCCAGGTATTGGTAGTGGTTCCATGATGAGATGGGCACTCGTCTTCACTACAGTACCGCTTTACACCCTCAGACGGATGGGCAGAGTGAGAGGACGATTCAGACTCTAGAGGACATGCTGCGTGCGTGCGTATTAGACTTTGGAGGGAGTTGGGATACTTATCTTCCATTAGCGGAATTTTCATATAACAACAGTTATCACGCTAGCATAGATCGACCCACCTTCGAGATGCTCTACGGGAGAAAGTGTAGGACCCCAATTTTTTGGGGCGAGGTCGGTCAAAGAGTCATGGGGAGTACCGAGGTGGTACTCAAGACCACTGAGAAGATTCAACAGGTCCGGAGCATGCTTCAGACTACTTAGAGTCGAAAAAAAAATCTATGCCGACAAGCGTCGTTCAGACTTTGAGTTTTAGGTATGCGACATGGTCCTCCTGAAGGTGTCACCTTGGAAAATGTGTCATCAGGTTCAGGAAGCGGGGCAAACTGGGCCCCAGGTACATCAGTCTGTTCAGTATTTTGGCTCGGTGGGCCGGGTTGCTTACCGTTTGGATATGCCAGCAGAGCTCAGCCAGATCCATGGCACTTTTCATGTCTCCCAACTACGGAAGTGCTTGGTGGATGACTCTGCAATTATTCCTTTAAAGGATATATAGATTGATGACAGTCTAAACTACATCGAGAGACCAGTAGCCAATATCGGTAGGAAGACGAAGGAGATGAGGAATAGGAGGATGGATTTGGTGAAGGTACAGTGGCAGCACCGTAAGGGCTCAATGTGGACTTAGGAATCAGAGGATGAGACGAGGGAGCATTAACTAGAGTTATTTAAGGCAACAGGCTTCGAGGACGAAATCTGAGACAAGCGGAGGAGAATTGTAACGCCTGGTTTCTAGTATGTATTTTAAATTTTAATTTATTCACTTTCATTAAAGAACTCAATGAGTTGGGAGCCCCAGACTCATCGAGTAGGAATAATTTGGGACGCGGGTTAAGGAACCTACTCGGTGAGTTGAGAGACCTCAACTCGATGAGTAGGCTGGCAGATGTGAAACCCTAATTTTCAGGGTTTTGCACCCTATTTAAAGGACTTGATCCTTTCCATCAACCTCCCTGAAACCCTAAATCGTATTGTGAGCTCTTTAGTGAGAAACTTGAAGTTTTGAGTGGATTTGTGTGTGTTTATGTGCTTGCTAAAGGAGTTGGAAGAACTAGAAGTCATCAAGTGTAATGCCCGTGTTTCTTGGCTAGGCACTAATGATGATGTAATAGTCTAGGACAACATTTGTAACTTGTTTTGAAATAATAAAGATGTATTATTTGATTATTATGTGTTTTATGCTTAATTAGTATAATTTAATTAGTTAAGGATAATAATAAGCATCAAAAATAAATGTTAGATAAATTCGATATCTATGAAGAAAGTTGTAGTGGTTGAAATAAGGATTCCGGAGATATAAAGAATACCGAAATCCGAGTTATAAAGAAGAAGTTATGACATGTCGAAGTTTCGCGACAGAACCGGCATGACACTGTATGACATAAAAAGTGAATTTACGATAAAGTACTTTTTAGCCTTAGGGTTCTAAATGAAAGTTTTAGATTACATCTCCACCTTCTAGTGGATATAAAGAACGTCAAAAAATGAGCTCGTATGCAAAAGTTATGGCCTTCCGAAGATACAGCTGTCTGAGAGCATGACACGTGTCAGAAAATCCTAATCTGACTGGACTCACGACGTAAGGAGTCAAAACGCCGCATTACAAAGCTAAAAGACGCATGACAAGTCTAGGGAGTGATAAGTCAAAAGCTCACGACGTGAGCAAGGATTTCTCACGATGTGAGGAATCAAAACACCATTTTTCAAGGCTAGAATGCAGATGGCAAGTCTACGGAACGAGCTCATGACGTGAGCAATGAATTCTCACGACGTGAGGAGTCAAAATGACACCATGAAAGCCTAGAAGGCAGATGGCAAAGCTAGGAGATGATCAGCCATGGCTCACAACGTGAACAATGAATTCTCACGATGTGAGAGACCAAAAATCACCCTATAAATAGCATGCGAGGCTGCCCGATTTCTTTTGCCAAAATTTTCACTCTTACACCTTTTACTTCCTTCTAAGCCACACTAAAACCCCCCTAAAACCCGAAGAAAGACCGAATCCCGAAGTCTCCAAGAAAAAGAATTTTTCGAGTCAAAACTCTGCTCGCGTGAAACCCGATTTTTTTGAGGAAACATCCCGGTTTCATCGAAAAAAATTGTTTTAAGGGACGAAGTGTTGTCCAACCACCGTCTTATCAAGTGAGTGTGTAGTTACTTTCATCTTAAACATAGATATGAAGTATTTTCTACAAAATGCGTGCTACGTGTATATTTATTGTTTATTTATTTGAGATGGTGTTGAATGAATGTTTTATGCAGGTTTTAAAATGATTTAAACTGTATATGTAT